CCAAACTAAAGGATTCTATGATTCCATATAGCATCAGAATTGAGTTATTGGTAACTTGTTTTCATGTATTGTCCTATTCAGAATGAGAAAGTGTTGGTGGTGTTGCTGTTAGATGTTTTCAATGTTGTAGGTTTTGCAGAATTAACACCTGCACCTCTGAAGTCTTTTTTTTTGTGTGGTTTGTCAGTACTTGATATTTCTCTAAGCATTAAAATGTGGAAGGGCCTTAAAAAGTCATGTATTTTAATTGCTAAGTGGCTTAGAGATTGTCATATTTATTTGCAAAATTATCAGATATGACGTTTGGCCCAGCATAAATGTTGTGACCAGTTAAGCATTTTATTTTGTGTGGGGCTTTAGCAATAAATCCAACTTATGACGCATTTTAAAAATACACTTTTAACATAATAGTATTGGCACAGCCTCAGTAGCAGACTGCCTTCCAGTTAATTGCTTTGCCTGGCAATAGTTGTCATTTTGGGAATTTTAGATTTGTGGAAACCTAAAGCAAAGAGTCTTTCCCACTGATCAGCTGTCTGTGCCAGGTATGATGCTAAAGCTAACGCACAACTTCCTTCTGCGAGTCACATGAAATAAATCACAAACTGCTCATCAGGCTTGTAGCATTGGCACGCTCGCCTGTTCCCTCTCTTCCACCCTGCTGTGGTGCAACGTGCTCAGATGGGAACTGTTTGTCAGGGTATTAAACCCTGACTGTCTCTGACCAGACTTTAGTCTATTCTGCCTTCGCCATATTGCAGATTGCAACAGGAGTGGCTGCTCCAAACTCTATGTTGGAAACACGGTAGATAACGGAATCCAGTCCCTCTGTTATCACAGGAAAAACAGAAGCTCCAGTTCTGTAAGCCAGGCTGCAACTTTTAACTAGCATTGCCTCCCAGCAAGGTAGGGCCTTCACTGCAGGTGTTCCATGCACGCAGAGAGTGTTTACAGTCCTCCAGTCTTCAGGGTCTCTGCAAATGATGTGCTAGCAGCTGCCGAACTCCTGCTGTGAGGTTCTTGATCTATTCTGTAAGCTCTTATGTTGGAACTAAATCCATACTTCTGGGTAAGCAGGCTAGCAACAACGCTGGTTACAGGAGCTAACTGTGATTATATATACACACACATATATATTTCTTTTGAGAAAACATTTCTGCTTAGAAACATGCTAATTAGGAGAGTAAATTTCATTAATTTTTCCCTTAGCCATAGTTAAAAAAAGGAAAAAGTAAGTGGTGGAAAAGGCTCCTCAGCCTTTCTGTCACTTCATCTTTGAGGTGTGTGTAAACTCGGGCGTATAGCAGAAGATGCTCTTCTGGTTGCTTTTGAAAGCAGTTGCTCTCATTTTGCACCAGCGAGAGATTTACATCCCTTGCCTCTTACTGTAGGATGTTGAGACTGTAGCACTGATAAGACCAAACATTTTACAGTTCTTCATTGCTGAAGTGACTTTCCTTCTTTCACAGGGACCTTTGCCATCGGGGCTCATACTTGCTGGCAGCAAACGCAGGCGTGTGCGGCTTGGCAGCCAACACCCTGTTCAGGCGCGTGCTGCACGTGCGGCAGGCGGCCGTGGTGTCTGCGCTGCCCATGGCCGTCATCCCCTTCCTCTCCACCGCGGCCGTCTACGAAGTCTTCGTGCGCGAGCCTTTGTTTTCAGGTAGAAAGCTCGTTATTCCTTGGGTTTGAAAGGGCTTTGCTCGCTGTGCAGAATGTAACACTAGAGGAGCTTTTCCTCTCTGCAGAACAGTGGTCTTGAACTGTTGTGGCCTTGAGAAACCTCATTTTGTAAAGCGGGGTTTGAATAAACAGATCATTTAATGCATTGGGCAGCAGATAATTCTTGAATCTGAGTAAGAAAGGAGATAGAGGTGTGTATTTATATATGTGTATATAAAAAAAAAATTGTTCTGTCACTGATTGTTTTTGTATTTTTTACCCGAAGTCATGTAGGAGTGACCACAACAAAGCAGTTCAGTTTCCCCCATCAGTATGATTTTATTTGAGGGTCAAATTCAGGGATAAATTCTTCGTGGGTTGGAATGAGAGTGGGGATTTTTGTTGCATGGTTTTTTTTTTTTTTCAAAAGGAATGGTCCTTTCAAAATTCCTTGCATCCCAGCACAGCTTGGCTATTTTTGCCAAGCACCTGTTTCTGTGTTGTTACAGCAGCTTATAAACTGATGTGGTGGAGCTGTGTGGATCCTGACAGTGAAATGTTTTGTTTGTGATGCAGGTGAGCTAAGCTGCGAGGTCTGTGCTGTGGTCAGAGGAGGACTAACAGGGGCTGTTGTGGGTGGCTTCTATCCTGTTCTCCTGGCTCTCCCCCTGAGTGCAACCCTTGCTGCCAGGTACGTCTTTTACTAACCTGCTATGAGTGAGAAGTGTCAGTTGGTCAAGTCTTCAGTTCTCAGTTTAAATTCTGTGGATTTCTAGTCTATGCACACATATCTTGTAGGCTTTCAGGATGCAGAAAGGGACTTTACAGTAAGGTCATTTAATTACAAGGCTAAGTTGGTAAGAGCTACACCAAGCCTCTGAAGTGAAACATGCAGATGTTAACCCTTAAAGCACTTACGTTTAGCTGGAACCTTACAAGCTACCCATGATGTGCCTGGGCTGTTACACTGTGGCTACTGTCCTGCCAGGATGGCTTATGACACTTATCCAGCAAGCTCAGGACCACCAAGTGAACTTAACTTAGGAGAGGAAGGAGAGAATGAATATCTACCTACATATTTTTAATTACTTCAATGTTACAACTTGATGCTTAATTTGGATGGGAAAAAAAAAAGTTTCTCCCACTGTTTCTGTTGTTCAGGTATTCCTCATCTCCCTTGCCAGGGAAAGAAAATCTGTTGCGCTTCTGGCTCACAGTATCTCAGCCTGTCTTTAGAAAGATGAGTTTCGGTGTCATTATGCAGGCTCTAACTGGATTATATCTTGCAACTAAACATCATGGAATTTATGTCAAAATTCTGGAGCAGATGAACACCAGCAGGGATCCTGAAGAGTTACAAGAATGAACTTAAGCAATTTTTCAGTTGCCTCGGATAATAACAATAATAAACAAAGAAATTAATTGTTATTTGCCCTTCTTTTTCATAGAGAAACAAAGTTAAGACTCTACGCTGGCATTCTTTTCTGTTCTGAACTTAAATGCAAGTTATGTTTTTCATGATGCACAACTGTGTATACACCTGAGTGACAGCTTCACAAGGGCAGGTGTTTTTCTTTGGAAATGAGGAGGGGGAAAAGCATTTACATTGCCCACTTAGTGCTTAGCTTTAAGATAATGCTACATATTTTAGAAGCTGTATAAATGAGTATTATTAAATAAAGGGTTTGTCTTCATAATGCAAACCACAATGATTTAAAAAAAGGGGGGGGGGGGGGGGGAGGTGTCAAAGTAGTTTTTTTTCTGGATTCCTCAAAATCTTAACTATTTTTATCCTCCATTCTGCTAGCAGAGAATTGCTGTCCCAAGAAACCCCCTTTAGGCTGTCACAGGGGTCACACTATGCACTGTAGAGAACACATAGCAGAGTAGTTGGGAGACTTCTCAGCACATATACACATATATATAAAGTGACCAAAACCAAAGCCTAGGCAGAAGACGCTTTGTCCTTGCAACCACTTTGCCTTGAAATGAGTCTTTTGGGGAAGCAGGGAACTGTATTGAGAGGCCTCTAATGGCTGCTGAGCTACCTCTAGTTGTAAGATCAGTGGTCCAGAGTAATTGTTTTAAGAGTCAGGCTTGTCTTCACATAGGCAACTGAATGTTCTAGAGCAATGTAAACTGTTGATTGTCCTACTGTGTGAGGCATCTGTAGTGTATTCTGCACCTTGAGAACTAAATCAGGATTTCTTCCACAGAAGCAATTGTCTCAGTCTGATGTATGGTGTTAACTGTAAAACCCCTATGACTACTGGTCAACAATCACGTACGTTTCAATAAGATTCTGGTATCCCCCCTAGATACAGATGGAAATACTGATTAATGAGAATTAAGAATTCAGCATTGGCTGACACCTTTAATTGGCTTGGTTTAAAACATGCTCTAGCTCTGCTGAAAAATGTATTAGAGTTCCATCATGTTTATCTTTCTTAACAAATTTGTCGTTAGAGCAGGAAAATCATGCACTTTTTTCTCCATGATCAAAAGTAAAAGTACAGGGGAGTAGTAAGAGTAGTTTGTACAGGGCAGCAGCAAAGACACCTGCAGTGGTGGCTGTGTCAGGATAGTTTAGTTTTCCTTTATTCAAAATATTGCTGCATCATGTGGTGTTTCTGTCTCTGAAAAGCCATCTTGGTCTTACCTTCATCACTCCCACTTTAGAGATTCTTACAGGGCAAGTTTTGTACAAGACTGGCTTACGGTATCTCCAGAAGTCCTCAGACTTTAACCAACAGAACCACTTACCTGTGGTAATAAAAAACATAAAATAAAGCTATTACTTTGCAATAGTATCTTAAAGAATGAAAATGAATGTCTCTGTGATTGTGAGCATTTAACAAGATATAGTAAAGTATGTTACTTTTTAAAGTGAGATTCAAAATTATTTTCCAGTCCAGGTACTATTTTCATTTTGGTACCAGTTAAAATTGTAATTATTCTTAGAGGAATCAAATTGCATGCTCTGGTATTTAATAATCTGACTTGAACAAACCTCATTAATAAAAGGGTGAAATGGTGAAGACACTATGTAACAAGAAAAAAAAAATCACAATTAATTAGTTGCAAAGACTGATACTTGTTGCCAGCATAACAGCTGACTGCACGAGTTGCAAATATTTATTTGAAGTTGTCAGCGAGAAGTCATATGTGAGGTCAGCTCCATGCTCCTGTGGGCCAGAAAGCTGCTGTGTCTATAAAAATGTAAACTTGTGTTGTATGCTGTGTCCTTCACCTTAAACAACTGGAGTAAAAGTAGTTCTCAAAAGTAATTTAAAGAGTAAAGACTGAAACTTCTTGAAAATGCAGGAGGATACCAAGCTGGCGTCAGTAAGTTGCAGCATGCGCATGTGGGAGGAGCGTCCTCACGGAAATCTGGAAATTCCCTCCAGTCTCCCTTTCATAGGATGGTTTGGGTTGGAAGGGACCTTAAAGATCATCTATTTCCAACCCTCCAGCCATGGACAGGGACACCTCCCACTAGACCATCCAACCTGGCCATGAACATCTCCAGTGATGGAGCATCTACAACTTCCCTGGGCAACCTGTGCAAGTGTCTCACCACCCTCATAGTGAAGAACTTCTTCTTAATATCTAATCTAAATCTACACTTTTCCTGTTTGAAGCCATCACCCCTCTTTCTATCAGCATCAGCCTTTCTGAAAAGTCCCTCTCCAGCCTTCTTGTAGATCCCACACACAAAAACCCCTAGGTTTTGTGCAGAGGTGCAGCATACCTTGTGCCGCTCTCCTAGAAGTCAAAGGACAAGATTTTACCAGTTCTTTGCCTCCTACCCACAGTAACAAACTCCTTGCAAACGCTGCTTCCCATTTGAAAAAAAAAAAAAAAAAAAACCATGAGTTGGAACAGGTCTTAGTGGTATCCTTCCTTCCACCATTTCAACAGAAACAAGCCAGCTGGACTACATGTCATTGCAAGAGCTTTGGTTGCCTTCTTGGAAGAACACGTGTCCAATATATAATCTACAGCAATGGACTTTTGACTGGTCCTACAGCCAAAGGAATGCCACAGGACTGGTTATAGATAAAAATCAACAGAAATACTACAAAAGCACTCATTTTATCTTCTCTGATGTCTGATGCCGAGTCTCAACATTACAATCCATTCCACAGGCCCCTCCCTGCTAACACCCTTATGTCCCCTACACCAGTCCATGTCCAGCTCATGCAGCCTCCTGCTAAGGAGCAAAGGCAGAATCAGCTCTCCAGATCTGTGCATCCCACTTAAACTAGGTGAAAAACTGTAGAATCAGCTACTGCCAATGTTCAGTTTTTTACAGCTCCCAGACCTAAGGGATCCTTCAGACATTTACAGTTACTAGCAAATACAATCCTATAAACAAAATATTGTTGCCTCTAGCAGCAAACCTCTTCAACCACAAGCTCTAGAGAACCTAAGCTTTTAAAGATCAGGAAATTTACAGAAGGCCTTCGTGCTTTTGAACATGGTGTTATCCGCAACTGGAGGCCAAAAAGGCAGAGCATGCCAGTATGCTTTTGAGTTTTTAAACACTTTTTTGTAAATGATCCTGTTTATCAATCTGCAGACTACTTCCACTAGAATGCCTGGATGCTAGAAAGCCAGCATGCAGTTTTAAACTGCTCTCTTCAAATAAAGCATTTTAAGATTTACAGAAATCAAAGAGTACACTGCATGGCTCACTATGGAGCTTTAAAGATCTCTCCTTTCAGCACCCTCAAACCTTCTGTTGTTTACACTCACTCTAGTGTTTAGCATGGAAAAATCAATTTGATTTGAAATATTATGGTTTAACAGCAAATTACTAACCAGTCATCAAACTTCAGAACCTAAAAATGGGGCAAAAAGTAGGAAGATGCCAGTAGACCCTGGATGCATTTATGTAAGTATTCTACTCCTCCATGGTTCATTGATAAACAAATCCACATTAATTATTAAGAAAAACAACTGTAAAATACAAGGAGTGGTGATTCTCAGAAGTACAACTCGTATCTTCGGTTCAAGGAATAATGTCTTTGTTTTGTGCTCACCACAAAATTAACTTGAAAGGCAGGTGAGCAGGAACATTTGTCCTGTGCACACTCATCCATGTTATCTGGTTTTCCAGCTGATGACCCACACAGACAGCAGCAATGGCATTTTCCCCTTTCTGTTTTCCTGTTTTGTGTAATAATCGCCTTAATTACAGCAAGGCATTAATGAGAAAAAAAAAGATGAAAAAACATTTGAGCCCATAAATTGAAAGATCAACAAGTCTGATTTTATTATGATATTGTATTCTTATCTGGATGGCACATAATTACAAAGAAACATTTACAATATATTTTCAAGTATTAAGTTACGTCATTTCAAGGCTTCCACTTCAAAAAGCTACATTAATAATACACCATACAGATAGTACAGTCCGTTAAGAGTTTCAAATAACTTCCTCTCCTCTATTTGGTTTAAATATGATTCAGTAGGCACTAGAAATGCCTGCAGCCACTTACTTTCATGAGACTTGACCTTGTTCTTGTACCAGTATACATCATTTTGCACATCAGAAAATCAGCTACTCTCAGACACAGCTCGCAGGTAGTTTCACAATTAGAGCAATGTGCAAGTTCACAGCAGAGACCAGAACTACGTCCCTGACCCCTACCATTCAGCAGGGATGCAAAAGAAAGAATGCATATTTAACTTAAAACCCACTTCGATACTGCAGTAACTCTAGAAATGCCATTGTAACATCCCGTACTTGCTACGTGAGTGTTTCTCTTTTCCTCAAGCATGTTAAACTTCAAAATAGAGCGTGCTCATGAGGCCTGAGCTAGGCAGATGGAGCCCTGCTTGAATTTAACTCAATTATTTGCACTTTGCGTATCAGTCAGTGCGGGTTTTGACGCTAAGCTCCAGTTCTTGTGGCACTGGTATAACCCCTCGGTTAGAGCAGGTTGTGCAGTTTAAGACTGCAGCTCTGAGCCGTCCTGCTGATGCCACGGCAGAGGTGTGAGGTAACACATGCCCCACGGAGCCTCTTCGGTGCCGGCAATACACCCTGAACAGACGGAATTCTGCATACAGTGGAGTTAAACCCGTTTTGATAGGATATTGTCTTTCTAAAAAGAAAACATCTGGGATGACATTAAATGATTCCCGCATTCAACTTTTTTTTTTTTTTTTTAAATCAAAGACAGCAAATGCCCTGTTACCTCTTTATTCTCATTTCTTATACTACCTTTTAAAATAAAGCAGGAAATGTGGCCAGCAGCTGGTCCCGTCTCTTCTGCCCCAACACAGCTGAATCCACTTTAGCATAAAGAAAAACAAGGATGCTAAATACACATATACTTCATCACACAGTGATGTTTC